TGACTTGATAGTCCAGTTTATTGTGTGCGACCTAACATAATAAAAAGTTATAGTCTAATTTTGTCAAAAATCATGTTTATCGAGTTTTTTAAAAGTTTTTTTCCTAGATACTTCTAAGTTATAAATACTTACTAGTTTAGGAGATATATTTGATTGCAAGCTTTTTAGGTTGGTAACATTATAATTTCCATTAACATGACAATCAATAACTCTTTTCTATCTTCAGTTATACAACTTAAGCTCGAAAATTTACTATTGTATAGTTGTGTCTTTTTATTTCTGTACATCTGTTGCCACGTGATTTGTACGTTGACATCTAATAAATTATACACGCAGGTTATAGAAACTTATTTTTTATCGCAGTAAGATTATTAAACTTTGAATTTTATTTGTACATCATAGTGAGTTCTTCTTTGTTGTCGCGTAATAAATGTATTTTATTAGCTATTAGGTTTTTGTGCTGAACGATAGTATTACTTGATTACATTTGAAGCAATGTAAGGAAAGTTTTTGAAGGCTAGAAATATTGTTCCTTCATGTTTGTGTCATAATTGTTAACACAATCTTCCACAGACAATTCTGAAATGCCAATAAACGAAAAGTTTTTCAAAAGTTTAAATTAATTTTAGAAAAATAAGTATTATATTTGAAGCATCTCTAGCTGACTTATACAGTATTTAGAAATCAGCTAAGTAAATACTTTGTGTGTTATGCATTAAACTAAATAAATACATGTTTAAAGAAATTTTAATAAATTAATTAATAAATTTCATTATATTTGCCAATGCATACATATTTTAAACTTCAAAAACATATACTTTTTACAACTAATTATATGTCTGCTCCTTCAAAATTAGACTTAAAAGTATTATGTAGATTCTTGTCTTTATAGGTAATAATAATGTTGTAAAAAAAATTTCTTAAAAATCTGTTGAATGTTAGTAAAACGGCAGATAATAGTTATTTTTACAGAATGTTTGTATACACCGAAAAGAATTTCAAAATAAATAGTAAGAGTTTACCTATAGATGAATTTGTGTACCATATCGAACCACGTGAGTGTTTATTAACAATTTTAGGACGCATTCTTTATTTATTATTAGCAGAGTTGTATAGTTTTAATGTCCATATCTGCAAGGTAACAGCTTGGCTCAAAAGCGTATACAAAGCAACACTCAAGAACAGGTATTATTGCCCTGTCTAGATGAATGTCAGTGGTGAAAGCTGTTTACCTACCTTGTATTTAGGGAATATAATAAGATACCTAAGGTCTGAGAAATATCCTTTTTACTGGAATTTAAGTAGAAAAAGTGTCTCTTTGTGAGGACCTTCACAAACGCACATACCTGTCTGTTCTCCATCCTTTCCCAACTATTCGCTAGGTATCTAACCATTAAGGTTAACCTTCTCGCAAGTGTCTGGATTTCATATTGGTTACTATATAAGGGCGTTTAAGATGAGCTTGGGTATTCCCACCGATATAGGTGTCTAAGGCAGGGAGATCAGCCTTTCTCATGAGTCCTGGCGTGCTTTCGGGATGAAACACCAAACAATCTTTTCTCTCTATTCACGGCATCACTTGATTGCCAAATTTATGACCCTGATATCCTTTACGCCAGAATCACCCGGAGCGAGCATGCGACAAACACACAACGCTACAATCGACGCCTCAACCTCTGCACAGCAGGAAGTGCATCACCTCGTCCATACGTGCTCTTGTCAAATACTATCTTCTGCAACGCACCAGTAATTCGTTCAACGGAATCGTCGAGAATGTTTCAGGTATGCATGCGGGAGAAAAATAAAATTTATGCTTCCAAAGACAGTGCGACCGCCATCTTTTTCAGTTTGTTCATTCTTGAGCATCATCCTCGGATGTGTACGATTTAATTTTAAACACTTTTGCGCTTCCACCTGTTACTATAGCAAAATTTCATTCTTAAATATTAAGCGAGTGAATCGTATAATTGTGATTCACCGATTCATTAATTTTTATTTTAACTGAATTTTGCTGTTATGGCTCATTCCAGCATTTTACTTTTTTAACGGATTAATCTTTATTTTAATATTTTTATCATTTGTCTTGCGTACTCTATTCATTATGTTACAATTATGGAAGTGACCAAAGAGCAAAGTAACACAAAGGTAACACAGTCTGCCAAGGCTGCTGACCCCTTTTACACTTCTCGTTCACCTGATCGTTCTAATGTCTCTTCTTCTAATGTCTCTTCTGTCAACTCACGTAATACTTTTAGTGATGCAGCCACCTCAGTCGACTCTCACATTTCTGCCTTATAAGCTAAAGTCTCAGCTGGTTGTTTTCAGATTTTATCGATAGATAACAAATCTTTGGACACTCTAGAGCAGCTATCTTTTAACGTCAATGATCTCAAAAAGTAGTTAAACATTACTATGGGTAATACTCCCCATCCTCCGAAAACTTCACGGTGAAACCGTTCCCAGTCACGAAATTACAGAGAGTCTAATAGAAACAGAAGCAAAAGCATCCAACAGAAGCCTACCGGTAATCAGCTTTGTTATTATCATAAAAAACTCGGCGATAAAGCTCGCTTCTGTAAGAGTGGTAATTGCCCAAGAAAATCTCCGGAAAACTAAACTCTGCCTCTCATGCAGAAGCATCAAGTGGGACCTCATCTTCAAAATACTCTCACATTCTGAATATCGACTCAGGCAAGGTCTTCTTGGTTGACACATTTTTTTTGGTCTAATTGTTGACGTTTGCAGGTGCAGGATCATTGATCCATTTACTAACACTTTTTCTGTCAGTTCCATTAAATCGACTGATTGCTCTTCTTCATTTCCATCGTGGACCCAAATTCCTCTCACTCCAAGCTTTTCTCAGATTTTACAGAGGTGACTGGCAAACAGCCAGTCTTGCTCGTGACAGCTAAAGATGTACTTCATCACATCAAGACCAATGGTCCTCCAGTCAGAAAGAGCGCCTCGATCCTGAAAAACACAAGGCAACTCAGAAAAAATTCGAGAAGCTGGTCAACCAAGGCACTTACAGATGCTCCAAGAGCTCCTGGACTAGTCCCATTCATATGATTCGGAAAAAGGATAGTTCTTGGTTCATTTGTGGCGATTATTTTCGCCTCAACGCCATTACGATCCCAAATAAATTACCTATTTCTTACTTGCATGACTATTCAGTCAATCTACTTGGCAAGAAGGTCTTCTTGAAGCTCGATCTTTCCAAAGCATACTATCAGATCCCCGTAGCTCCTGTTGATGTGGTAAAAATCACTGTCACCACGCTATTTGGACTGTTTGAGTACGTCTTCATGCCATTCGGTCTCAGAAATGCCTCACAATTATTTTAAAAGTACATCAACAAGACTCTAGGTGATCTCGATTTTATTTTCGTCTACCTGGACAATATCCTTATATTTTCTTCCTCCACAGAGAAACATCAAAAACACCTTCGAATCATTTTTGAACGCTTTAAACTCTTCAGCCTCAAAATTAACGTTCCCAAATGTGAGTTTGGTAAATCTGAGATAGTCTTCCTTGGTCACCTTATTGACCAGGAAGGTTCTAAACCCTCCCGGGACCAAAAGCAGGTGATTGCTGACTATCCTGTACCTAAGACCGTCGTCGAACTTAGCAGGTTTTGGGGTCTTATAAACTTTTATCGCTGCAGCCTCCCTAACGCTGCTACGGTACAAGCCCCATTATATGCTTACACTCTCAACAGCAAGAAAGATGACCAAACAGACATCGACTGGTAACCCAAAGCTGTTAAAGCCTTTGGAAGAGTCAAGTCTGACCTAATCAATACCTGTCATCTTATGCATCCCTCTCCAGATGCTCTTACCCATCCCGTTACTGATGCTTCAAATTTGTCTATGAGTGCAGCCCTGAAACAACAGGTTGACGGACAATGGAAACCACCAGGGTTTTTTTTGCAAAAATTCTCTGCGTCTCAATGCAACTATGCCGCGTATGACATAGAACTCACCGACATTTTTGAATCCATCTAACACTTCAAATACTTTCTGGAAGGAAGGAGGTTCAAAATCCTTACTGACCATAATCCTCCCGTTCATGCCTTCTCCCAGAAAGCCGACAAAGCTTCACCACAACAGCGTCGGCAAATTGGCTTCACCTCGCAATATTCGACCGACATTAAGAACATCTCGGGTCCAGAAAATGTAGCAACAGACGTATTTTCTCGGATCGACTCGACTCGATGCCCTACTAAGACTCAACACTTGTTCGATCTAAAAAGTGCAGCCGTCGCCTCCTAAAGGTGACCTGATCCGTCTTCCTACTGACATTGAAATGTCTGAACTCATTCAACATCAGCAACATGGCATCAAACTCAAATTTCTGCTTGAGTCGTCAAAATACTCCTTGAACCTCAAAAACATCAAACTTGGTCACCTGCGTTGTTTTACCAAGTGTATCACGTACATAATCTATGACTAAAGAACTGAAGCGCCGCGCAACGGCGAGTCATTTCAACGTGAAAACTTAATAAGTTACTACTGTAATGATAACGTTATAAGAAATTCATGATAAAAATCGCTTAATAATTATCATCATGCGATAAAAAATGAATAAATTTTTTTTTAAAACAATTATTTACGTAATTACTCTATATACACTGACACTGCCATAGCGCGGTGCTTCAGTTCTTCAATCATAGACTACGTGCGTGATACACTTAGTAAAACAACGCTGGTGGTCACAGCCACCTAAGACTTTTTTGTAATTTGATTGGCAAAATTTTGCGCCCTTATATTCCAAAGACAGTGATCAAACGTATCCTTGACATTCTTCACTCATCTTCTTATTCCAGCCCTAAGGTCACTGACCAGTTGATTAGACAACGCTATGTCTGGCCTAACATGCACCGTGACATCAAAACTTGGTGTCAAGGATGCCTCGACTGCCAGCAGTCAAAGATTTCACGTCATGTTAAAAATGAGCCCAGTCAATTCATCGCCCCTGACAACAAGTTTTGACACATCCACATGGATATTGTTGATCCCTTAAGGACTTGTAAAGGCTATTCTCACGTTCCCACGATCATTGATTGTTTTTCTCGTTGGGTTCAAGCTATCCCGCTCCAGGATATTCAAGCTTTCAGAGTACTTCATGCCTTCCAAGCAACTTGGGTCTCTCGTTTTTGTACCCCAAGATTTATTACTACCGATCAAGGTTCAAAATTAGAATCTGCCATTTTCAAGGCCTATCTTTTCTTTATAGACTGCCAAAAAAAACGGACTGTGGCTTACCACCTAGCGGCCAATGGCCTCATTGAGCGCTGGCATCGTAGCTTCAAAGCTGCCCTCATGTGCCACAATAGTGCCAACTGGGTAAAACTTTTACCAACAGTTCTTCTACGCCTTTACACTGCCGTTTAAAGCAACACTGGAGCGTCACCAGCTGAATTTTTATATGGTACTACTCTTTGCATTCCAGGGAAATTTTTCATCCCAGATGATTTTTTTCGCTGATCCCCAAATCTTCATTAAAGATTATTGTCAATATATAAGGGAACTTAAACCTGTGCCGGTAGAACACTGCCACAAACCTCGACCCTTCTTCTTTAAAGATCTCCGCTCTTAATCTCATATTTTTTGTCGCTTTCACGCAACAAAATCTCTCGAGGGACCGTACTCGGGTCCTTACAAGGTCACAGAGCGAATCTCTAATCTTGATTATAAGATTCACATCAAGGAAACTCCAAAGGTTGTCTTCATCAATCAACTCTAGCCGGCTCACCTTGTTCCCGAGGATCTTACCTCTCCAATGCTAGATCTGACTTCACCCGCAATTCAGCCTCCAAGGGCCATACCTATCCTGAAAACTTACCCTTGTACAAGTAAGAGCAAGAAAAAAATTATCTTTAAACTTGAATAATCGTTAAAGCCCATTTTTTCACCAAGACCTGTTTTTTTTGTTAGTTAGCTAAGTTAGTCTCTAGTTACTTCAAAATTACTACTGTGACATTATTATGTACGATTAAGACAAACTGTTATACCATATTTTTTCTTCTAATCTCAAACTAAAGTTCTGCATTAGACTCATAATCAATAAGACTGTCTTACCACTGTGAACTTAGCTTACAACTTTTGTTACCATAAATTGTGTTTTTAAGTAGTTTCAAGTGTAATAATGCCACGTCAAATGATTATCTTTTTTTTAACTTAGCTTGTAATTTCGTTATCAAAGATTACACATGTAAGGAATTGTAAGCTCAAAATGTTGAGTCCTAGCATTTAATTTTTTATTGTAAACAAACGTTATGCGTTCTGTTTAACAATGCCTTTGCGTTTTGGCCAAGGTATAAATGCGCTTTAAACCACCTTAATAATCTCAACTTTAATCATACTACATATTTTATAATACATCGTACTGCGTTACTAAGGGAAGAGTATGTGAGGACTCTGTCCCGTCGGACAAGAGCAAGGGCGTTCCGCTCTCTCTGCACGTCCCTCTCAAATCGTCTTCGTCGAGCTGTACTACTGCGCAATTCAGTTTGCGCTCAGTCGTCGCTTAAGCGCTATCACTATGGGCTATACTCATAGCTCGTGTCACTAGGCACATGTAACTGTTTGATACTGAAAAAACCAGTCATTGTTATCTTCATTACAAAGAAGTACTTTATTGTCCTGGTTTATTCCACCTCCTGGCAAGTTCCTGAACACGGCAGAATTGGAGCTACTTATCTGATGGTTGGAGATATATCTGGCACTGCCGTACCAACCTCCTAGTCTAACCTCAAATCTTCTTCTACTTCTGTGCATTGGAATTTTATCAAACTTATTTCCTAGCACTATTGGGCTAAATTATTCTAGCATGTGATTCAATAGTGGTACCCTTCCAACGACAGTAAATTAACAATAAATATGAGATGACACTTACTAGACTTTAAAAGTAACTTACTTAAAGCTCTAAGGATTTAAAAAATGTTTGTTTAATTTTTTGCCACTAACAGGAAGTTATATTTAGTTTAAAAAAATGAGTAACTTTCGTCTAATACCAATGTAGCTTTGTCTTTTGTGATTTTACTGACTCTTTTTGAAATTGCTCTAATTTTCCATCCAAGACTCTGAACAAACAATTTCATTTCATCACTAGGGTATAATACCAACTAGGATTAAGGCCAGTTCAAAAGTTTCTTACTCTACAAGCAGGTTACTTACACGTACAAAATACAAATGTGCTTTTTTCACAGATTGACTAAATTTTAATTTTACAAAATAGCGTGCATCGTTCAATTAAACATCCTAGTATTGGAATCCCTCTGCACATTTGTAAATCATATTATTGACGTAAAAATGCTACATAAAACTAGCGTTTTGTCTAGTTTTGTCTAGTTTTCTCAAATTTTCAAAGACATTTTGTATAAGTTAAAGCGGAGTTACCTAGAATAATAAAATTCATCTTTTAAATCAATAAGAGTGACCAGATAAGGCTTATTGCCTTGTGACGTAGTCATGTTAAGTGGTGATAGCCTGGTGAAGAAGTTTTAATTTGCACTAACAGTTTGACTACAACGATTCAGTTTGTAGAATATGTCAGCTGATACAACTAACTCTAAAAACTTTTCAAATAGATAGAATATTTGTTGCTTATTTACTTAATTAGAATTGTTAATGAATAAACAAAGTTATCGTGAAAAAAAGCTTGAACAGAAAATAATCTTTTTCCTGTCTAACAATAGCCATGTTACATCTACATTAACATTTGATTACAATCAATGAGTAATAATGAAGAATGGCTTTTTACTCTCTAAAAATAAAGGAAGCAGAATGTTAAACAAATATTTAAAAAAAAAAGCGTGGTTTTACCGACCTTGAATTTATACCTACATCTATAACGTATCTGCCATGTTTTACAACACAATACTAACAGGTGTACATATAAGCAAAATATAACAGCACATCACCAAAATATATTTTTTAAATATTCTGTTTACGTTATTCAATTAGAGTAAAAAGCTATTCTACATTTTCAGGCACCGATTGTAGTTAAAGATAAATATCGATGGTATTAAGCTCTTGTGAGAGGAGAAAAAAATTGTTTTTCTGTTTAAGTTCTTGCCAGCGGTAACTATGCCTTACATAAGCCTTATATTTAAGTATCTTGTTCATTGTAGATAAATAAAAGTGATGAAAAACTTAGTAATTGTAAGAGAGTTTGTGATAATTTGTACAATGAAAAACATGTTAAACATCTTGGTGAAAGAAAATTCCATAGCATTGTATCAAGTAGAAAATAAAGTTTTTTTTTAATAATTGGAGTAAAACGGCTAATTTAAGCCCAGTATTGACTCTTGGAATTAGTCACGAGAAGAGGTTTTAATTAGACAGTTTGTTAACTTACACGAAACTTGCATGTAATTCCGAAAAAATATTTGATGAAATAACCTCTAATATATTTTACAATTTTGGCATAAACGTTTCTGATGATAAAATGTGAATTTCCGTACAGCGAGGAAGATGATTGACTATGATGAAATTGTTAGAAAAGGAACTATTATTTGTGTGAATCAAAATTCAGAATCAGGTAAACATACTCTTGTTTTCTTAGTAAAAGAATACGATCGTTTTCTATTAAAAAAAATTATGTTCCCACTTTAGTGAAAACAATTTTTACCTTCTTAGAATTTATCGTAGCCTCTTGGGCTGTTAGTTGTTATCTTGGTTGCAGCTTCTTTTCAAATTTGCCACCCAGTATTCCTACTAATCTTCCTTTTTTTTAATTTTAGTAAATACAAGTACTTTATTTAAAACTCCAAGAAGTTGAACTATTTCTGAAATTATAAATGGTAAGTATTGCCACTTCGGCCTTTGTCAGTGTGTAGAAATATAATTGACCAACTGTGCAAGTGAAAAATATACGGGAACGATAAGATTAGTTTATAATTATTATCATTTCTATTACGATTGTGAATCATATCAAGCTACTGATTATCTTTTATTAACCGCTATTTTCATTCTATTATTTACGACATACTGATTCCTATTTACGACAATAGCTATCCCAGCAATACGTGCCAGTGCAAACATTAAGATCGTTTTTTTTTAATTTGAAGCTTTTTTGTACTCACATGACTATAAAAAACCAAATTTATCTTAACCCATATTCCTGAATTTGGACTTGTTACAAACGTACTAATCGATTCTTTGCATCTGATTTATCTAGGGTGCATGAAAAATTAATTGTATATAAAAATTCAATTTCCTATCAAGTACTTAGTACCACATGCTAAAGAAAATAGTATATCAGCAACCTTATTATTTACTAGCAATAGATTACTAATAAATTTACTCGTAAGCCAAGAGCCTTAGTTTTGTAGCCAAGAGCCTTTGCTGTTGAGTTGCATGAAATGGAATTTTATAGAGGTGAGAAAGCACTTTAAAATGCTGTTGATAAAAATAAGTTCACCAATTTTTCTACGTTTCAGGTTGCTCTTACAATTCTAAAAAGCACTATTTTCAGTACGTCTAAAAAACAGCTTCATTACTTTAAACAATCGGTTCGAAAATTTTATAAACTCTTTTTAAGTTTATTTGGGCAGAGATAGCTTTCTTATGATATTTATAATATCCTGCATCTTTAAAATAATTCTAGAAAGTATGGATTTTTAGATCATTTTTATGCATAAATTCTTTATTATTTCATATTAAAGATATATAAGTTGATTTGTAATGGAAATCAATCTGAACAGAGGCTAATGCAAAGAACTGCTGAGGTAGAGCTAATATGTAGTCAAAACAGGAACAGTGAAAGTTGTATCAACAATATAAAAATCCGAGTAATGTGTGCCGATATAAGAGAGCCCATGCGGCATCGATTAATAGGTGTCATGCAACACAAAGGTTAATTGTATAAGTGGTAAAAATAGCTTTGTATCCATGAATAAGTGTCACGTAGTTGAGGCTTCAAATTTCGTTAGCATGAAAAATGATGAAAAATAAATACTCAAAAAAATTTTTACAAATTGAGAAACTAATATTATTTCATTCACAAATAACTAACAACATTTTGAAAACAAAAATACGCAAAAATTAAACGGAGAATAGCTGCACTGTTAAGTAATATTACAAGCTAGAATAACTCAGAATTATTACTTATAGTGCAGATGCAACAAAAAAAATCTATATATGCTACAACTGCAGTAAGAAAAAGCTATGTATAACATCCAAAAATGTTAACTGCGGTAAACCTAGCAAAGCAATGTTATTTAATTCCAAGAAACTATCCGATTTTCAACGATCATTTTTGCAGATACATAATTAACCGAGTATCCCCTTTTTATTGCACTAACGATTTTATAAGCCATTTGCAATAGCTAAATTTTTAATGTGGGTTAATTTTGTTACTTTTTTGAATGTAAGGTGATATAGAGAAA